ACTTGTAAGAGTATTGAATCAGAGCCAGGCTGATAAGAGTATGAATAAAGATACAGTCCTAACAATACCCACCCCTACAGCTGATTAGTGGCTTCAACCCTGACTTTAGAAGGATGCGCAAATCGCAGTCCCTTCACAAAAAGCCTTATTTAACCATATTGTTTTTTTTAAGTATTGTTATGATAATTGTCTGAAATTATGTGAAAATGCATAGCCGAATAACTTATAACTAGCAACTATAACTGGCTTCCTTTATGTACAGTGTGAGGAAGTGGAGACGTGTCATCCATCTTTATATACAGTCTATGTGCCAGCCCAAAAAACGGATGACTACGCAGATTGTAAGCATGGATAAACATTTGTGAACATATCTACACAAGCGTATGCAGACAAACCAAAGGAGTATAAACAGAACCACTTCCACATGTCTTAACCAAGGTGATGCACAGAGAGCTAAATCACAGCCAGGGTGGAAATATTTGCACCCTGGTCTGTTGTGAAGTTTCACCGAGCATAGCACTCACGGCCTGGATATCTCATCTCCTCCTCTGGTCAAGAAGTGCCTTTTTTTTGTCCCACTGTTTGTCCCCCCCTTTGGTCTCTGACTGCCCCCTTCTCCCATATAGCTTTTTATACTGATGTAAGAGATGAGACCTGTGTGAACTTAAACTGGCAAGTTCTTCATGCTCGGCAGTGCTTGCGTCACGTCTACCCAGAAGTAAGACCCCACTGGCAATGAGAACTGTGTGAGATCAATCCTCTGTGCTTCATTCCCTCTCTCCTCACTGTCTGAATAGAGCACATTTTACCCATTGAACTTACCCTTTCCCACAGAGCCACCATGTATTTATCTTTCTTAAGAGCAATAGAGATCGACGAGTGGGCCCACAGTGCCTCGAACTCCCGACCCCACTTCGCACCAACTTTTAGAGCATCACCACATGACAGGAAATTGAGGCGAGGACAAACACACCAGCCCCCTCCCTTCTGGAGCATCTTAAACACTTTGTTTACAGCCTTAGCATGTCAGCATGACCATTGAAGGTCACGCACATACTCAGAACAAGTCATTTGTAAACTTATTTTTTCATATTTTCATTGATATTAAAGCTGCACTATTTAAATATAATATATAATGTAAATATCTCATTTTGAGCTGCCAGCACCAAATGACTGTCAAGGTTAGTGACTAGCTGGTGAATGTAGTGGAGCGTTTATGAGCCAAAGAGCCAAATATTTGCCTCAGGAATTGGTGGAGAGCAAAACAGCTAAAAAGGAGAGTGAATATTGGACTTACTTTCAACAGGTGGCCAGAAACACAGCTGTAAATGAATGCTCCACGTCTGGTAGTTGTTAAATAAGTTACAAGGTGATGCTGTATGTCGGTGTTGTGTTTTGGCTTTTTTTGCTGCCCCTAAGTGGCAAAAAAATCTATTAATGCTTTTAACTCAATCACGAATAAACATGGGGGAATGCATTCATTGCATTATTTGTGTCCATCACAAAAGAAAAGCTGGCTGTCAGAGATTTTGCTTGCTGTTTTGTCTGATACAAATATTAGGTCTGGATATATTTGTTAATGCTGCGGATTATACACGTCTGTGTGCACTCTCTGCCATGTGGTTGCACAGCACACAATAAAGTCTGCAGAGACTATGCTGTCCACCTGGTGCATGAAATCTAGAATCTCTTGCTAGTCCAGCTGAAGGTCAAACAACATTCAAAACCGCCGGAGGGTGATGGGAGCTGATCGACCTGCCCACCAGCCTGTGAGTCAGAGTCAGAAGTAAAAATACAACAATCTACCACATCCAATCATCTTTATGTTGTGTGTGACACAGCAAGACTGTCACCTTCTCTTTTACAGTGATGAACTGACTTCACTGACCAAATCTAATGTTTTTCATGTGCTGTTTGGAACTGAACGGGAGCACAACTGGTTTTAAAACATCAGAATTCATATTGCAGTAATGGCAAAACCTGGAATTGTCCTTTACAGTCTTCAGCTGGTCAGGACGAGAAGGAGCACTGTGGCTCCTTTCCCGGGTTATTATGGGATCTTTGCCTCTAGTAATTATCTGCCAGATAGCTGGGCCACTCCTCTGCTTCACCCAAGCTAAAGCAGTTTTTGTTTTTGAATCCTCTCCCTTAGTCAGCAATCTATTTGAAGTAATAGGGTGTATTTAGTGGGAGGTTTCAGTTCTGTGTCAGTAGTTAGTAACAGTTTTAATTTTCTTGGCTACTATAAGTGGAAGTAAAATAACTTTTGATTGAATAGATTTTAATTTCAGGCCTCAAGGCAATAAAAATGATAAGGAGGTGTATATTCTGAAATCCATATTGGCCAATATATGCTGCTTGAACTGCTGAAATAGGGAGCTTCAGCAGTACCAAGCGAGAACCTCTTGGTCTGAAAAGTGAAGCCAATGTGGAAGTGCTTTAAACATGTCTGCTTGAGCAGCCAAGACAGCCCACAAGTGGTGAAACTGAAAACAGCAGGGATAAGATAAACAAGGTTTGGGTTTGGCTAGCTGGTCATTTAGCTATATCGGGTGAGTTTTGTTCAAACATGTTCTACTTAAAGCAGGTGTGCTCATCAATGTCACTTTTAGTGAAATGACCAATCATCGCCTGGATGGGACGGGACATGATTTATGATGAGCTACAGCAAATTTTGAAATGTTGAACTTGTTATACATGAACGGTTATGATTATTGACAAGTTAGAACTTAACAAATTAGAGACTAGCCACAATGTAGGCCATTTTCTTACACAAGAATTTAATGACTGACAACAACCCACAAAAATGAACTACTGTCACTGGAATTACTGTGGTATGGTGCATAGGTGTCATATGCACTGGGGATGCTGGGGACACGTCCCCACCACATATTGAAATGGTTGATTTTGTCCCCATCACTTTATCATAACATTTGTAGAAAAACATTCTGAAAATGCTTTGAGAAATGTTAATTTGCACGGTAAGAAAACATACAAAGCAATTTAAATATAGAAGAAACAAATGTCCATTGTCCAAAAGTAACAGGCTGTATAATATTCTGTTGTATTTGTCTTTATTTATGTAACTCTCAATTACATTGAGGCCTAAAGTTAGGCATAATTAGGTGGCCAACATTGAGCTTCTCAATCAATCTTTTAGAGAGAGATAGAATCAATCTTCTATGAGTGACATCATGGCTACTGTGTTCATGTTTTACACAGTCTATGGGGTGCTCTAAAAACAGATCCATTAATTGCTCTTCTGTTGTTTTAGACAGAATATCTGCTCAAGGAGTGCTCACTGCTGATTTCTAAGAAAAGAGGTATTACACCTAACTTGCAGATACCTCTGGTAAACATGGGTATTGTCAAATCAATCTGAATGAGAGCTTGAGCATTACATCTTTAAAGTTACAGTGACTGACTGATGACTTATTTTATTATACAGTTTGAAGTTGTAGGGACAATACTGGGAGTCTGGGTTTAGTTCCATGTCCTTAGTTCATGTTTTGGTATTCACTCCTGGTTCTTGTTTGCATTATTGTGATTTGGTCTCCCCTGTACTCTGTGTTCTAGTTCGGTGTTCTCGTTTAGGTTCTGGTTCTTTATAACGTGTGTGTGTTTCTGTCTTGTTGGTTATTCACTCTGCCCCATGTCTGCTTGTCTAGTGTTCTGTTCTTTAGTCCCTGTGTATATATACCTGGTGTTTCTGTCTTGTCTTTGTTGGGTCATTGTATGTGGTTTCCCCAGTGTTGCAGTGTGTTGTCTTGTTGCAAGCCTCACTTGTTGTGTCTCCCTGCTTTCTTGGATTTTGTATTTCTCCTTGGATTACTTTGTTTTGGGACTCTGTTATCAGCCACTCTACCTGTAAGTGTGCTCGCTTTTCATTGTCAATAAATCATTGAACTGCACCAGTCGGCTCTCGTGTCCTGCGTTTGGGTCCTCCAACCTGCCTCTCCACACCACAACCCGTGACAAGGACAGATATTCCTGTGTGTGTGTGTGTGTGTGTGTGTGTGTGTGTGTGTGTGTGTGTGTGTGTGTGTGTGTGTGTGTGTGTGTGTGTATGTGTGTGTGCGTGTGATTTAGAACAGTAAACTGTGTTGGCCTACATTAATGCTTCTCACCCTTTTCTGCTTGTGAGACTGAAGCTAAATTTTAATGTCAAGAAGTCCTAGAGCTTCAAGAAGCATTGCCAAATTTTAAGTACATTTTTCCCCCTACTTAATACAGCGGCGCAGCACATACTTAGACAGTCAGCCTACATTCAGTTAGTAAGTTTCCTTTAATCGAGTCTGGCACTATTTTTTTTTGTGTATTTGTATCCACACTGAGCAAGTTTCAGTGTGGATCTACTGTGGCAGTTAAGATATGGAGTTAGGCAACCTCTCCACAGTGTTTTAGTGTTACAGTAAGGTTAACCTGCAAATCAGTTTTGAAAATATGCAAAGCTACTGCAGATGGACCATGGGTAGGGCGCTTTGGTAGGAGAATGTGGGCCTTTCACTTGTCTGTGTGCCGAGGGGCCTGTGGTTTCATAATTCCTGAACTGTCATGTATGCAGTATAGTGGACAGGTCAGCTAAAGAATGATTTCCATTCATTGGGTTGTTTCATTTGATTAGGCAAAAATAAAGATTAGGCAGACATCAAATTCTATTTATCTATTAAAACATCAGCAAATGATTGAGCGATCCCAAATTATGTCGTAACACTTTTCACTAATGTCAGCTCTTAGCCTGTGCTGTCCGCTGTCTCTAGAAAGCCAGATGAACCCTATGCTTTGCAGGACTTGGATATAAATTAGATGTTAAACAGTCACTGTTCTGCGTGTCTGAATACGGTCTCTATGTAAATGTGACATTTCAAGGACTGACTGAGGGCATCCATGTCGATCACAATTGATATTATTAGATATCGCTAAGTGTATCTGTGGAACATCCTGCACCAAGGGATGTCGCTTACACTGAGGCAAATATATGGACTCATCAAGAGACAAACTGGTGGGATATATCTCAGATTTTAATTAGAAGTGCACAGCTGGTTGTTTTGATCATGGAGGTCACATACATAAAGAAAAAAAAACATTTCATTTTAACAATTACAGTATCTTCTACTGTAGATGCCTTTGTGTTCTATGAACACCTAAGACACAGCAGTGCTTAAGGCAATATACCATATCATACATACTGTTTACAGTATTAAAATTACAGTCAAGAAGAACATCTCTGAATGTGACATGTTGGGATGGACGCCAACTGCTTCCTTTCGTAGGTATAGAGAAAACAGCAGAAATGCTCTCTCATGAGCCATGGGGGGAACGCAGGGAACCACTGCAGAACATTTCATGTCAACAGAACATTGTAGACTTTTTTAAAGGTTTGGTTGAAGGACAGACATTGACAACTCCGGGTATTTTTTTCTAGGGTTGACATGGGGTATGAACAGTGGATCTACTTTAATCTAATAGTTCTCTCATCGTATTTTTGTTTGATCACCGCTAACAGTTACAAACATGTGGGCGAAAGCACATCACAATATCCCCCTACAGACAAGATACAGAGAGGGAACTACGAATCTTCTTGTTCGACGTCAATAAATGCTTGGATTCTTCGCATGCTAAATAACAGCTTGCATGCAGACATTTGGCTAACTTATTGATTTAAAGACAAAAGTATGCGAGGGTGAAAGAAAAAAAGGTTGAGGACCTCTCCATATCAATGATTCATCAAGAATCATCTCATATCTCACCAGTATGCAGGATTATTTTGATCCAAATCAGTTTGATGTTATGATTTACCTCTATCAGAGGGAAGAGCGATTGCACTTGGGACCTTTTTTGATGGAATATGATCAGGGCATAAGTAAAGAACATTCCACATAAATCAGTCACATTTTGTCCATTTCTGAGCCAAAAATTGCTTGAAACATTTACATGAGAAAAACGTATTTCTTGTGTCATCAGACGGTAGTCTGGCGCTTCCCTAGCTGCTGATCTTGGTCAGCATCTTGTTGATGGCCTGTTTGACGTGTGTGGTGGAGCTGCGGCGTCTGGCCTTGCCCTGCACGGCCTTGCGGCGCCTCACCTCGCGACACAGCTCATGGAAAGCCTCGGCCACGGCGCCATCCTCATTGGCACATGCTGAACATTCGTAGAAGGCACATGCCATTTCAGCTGCAAGCCGCTCGCCTTCCTCTGTGCCCACCTGCCGGACGTGGTCCAGATCGGACTTGTTGCCCACAAGCACCAGGGGGACGTTTTTCGGCTTCTTCACATCCTCTAGGAGACTTCGGAGCGGCGCTACCTCCTCAAAGCTTCCCCGGTCTGTGATGTCGTACACAATGACGAATCCGTCACCCCAACGCATGTGACCCTCCTTCTGCTGGACGTCCTCCTGAGATGAAGACAAAGAAAAATTGCTGTTGATCTTAATTGTAATTCTTCTTTTTACAGGCATAGTTTGTCAGCCAGTTAGCTTAGGAAACAGGGATACAGCAAGTCTGGCTTTGTCCAAAATAAATAAAATTAAACTCTCTTATTTGTTATATCCAAAGTGTAAAACATCACAGGTGGGGTTATGTGCTGAACTATTTATTGACTGGGACCATTGACTTTCTCTGTAAAAGCAACAAGTTTTAGTCATAGTATAAATAAACAATATAAAAGACATATAACATGGCAACTAACTTTGACATTCACCTGTCAAGCCAAAAAAAGGGTATTTTTAACATGTTCTTGCATAGGTGACATCAGTCCCCACACACTCCATCTTTCTATGCTTTTTTTGCAATTGAACAAAAATCAGCCTTGGCAGCTTTCAGCCATATTTACGTATGTAACACATCATTTCTTTATGGAGAAGCATTTGTGTTCAACTCCTGACTCTTTCTCTGCTCTCTGCCACACCTACATACAAAAATATGGAATTCTGCAGCCATCCAAGGAACATGAACATTCAGGCATGCGCTCCTAATTTGATCATGTTGAAGCAGAAACAGTCGGTCTGGTTATTATAAAAGGAGTTAACTGGTCATGTGGCAGACTAAGAACCGTAACCTGACTGGAGGGAGGCACACGGATACTCCTCTCACAGTTATTGATAGAAGAAGCTTAAAAAATAGTGCATCCCTCCAGAGGACAGGCAAAAAACTTTGACGTTTGTATACCAGACCGACTTTTCAACTCAGAGGCCTGACATCCAATGCAGCCCGTGTCTGGAAACATTCAGACCTCATCCTGATGCCAGCAGAAAATAGACTACAATGTAATAAGAGAGGGATGACTTGGCTGAAGTGTCGCAGGGGAAATCAGCTGCCAGCAGAACACCTACGCAGCACTGCAGCATATTTATCTTCAGCCAGAGGACTTGCGCAAGCTCTCCCTCATGGCCAGGATGCAATGTTTCTGTCAGTCTGCAGGAAATTACCATCTTAAAGTGCCATTCAGTCTCACAGCCACTCTTACAATTCCTGAAACAAGTGTCTTTCCAAAACAAGTGTCAAATATCTCCAAGAAAAGGCAGTAAGGGCAAGGTGATACCCAAGCATTCAAGCTGATTTGCATTCCAAACAAGTGTAACCAACTTACTTTTTTAAAGAAAAATAAATGTTTAAGAGTGCTGTTAAAAATACTGTGCTTGTACTCCGTGTACTTTGTCAGCTCATTAATGCCAATAAAAAGTTTGTGATAGCGATCCCACAGTAATAGGCCCCAAATCATTACAGTATAAGATGCCTTCTTTTCATCTTGTCTCTACATCATTATTAATAATATGTGGCCAATTTGAAATCAGAGAACATAAATATTCATATCAGAAGCATTGAAGTGCTCCATAAACTTCTTTTAGTTTTCAAAATTTGATTTTCTCAACTTAGGTCCTGATTATGCAGAACGACTCACTATCATTAAATCAAGAATTTACCTCAATCTGTATAATATATAAGTAACTGGCAGGTTTTAAAATGTAGTACGTAATTCAATACTACATAATTATATTAATTATGTTGGGCATATGAGTAAATATATGTGATTATACATGAAACTTAGTGAACCCTTTAGAATTTCTATATTTCTGCACAATATGACCTAAAACTGTTGTATCAGTCCTGCACATTTACTTGGAGGAATATTAGCCCATTCCTCTTTCCTGAACAACTTCAACTCTTGTATGTTGGAGGGTTTCCTCACATGAACTGCTCGCTTCAGTCCTAAAAGAGGTCATATTATGCTCATGTTCAGGTTCAAAATCTTATTTAGCGGTTGTACCAGAACAGATTTACATGGTTTCAGAACAGATTTACACAGTTTCTAGTTAAGGACTACTAGCCAATCAGAAGCAGAGAAGAGTGGGTCAGTGAGAAGCCGGTAAACACAGCTTTGGTTCAGCAGTATATGTTCCCCTTACCAGCTTAGCAACATGGACTGGAGCAAGAGTTACAGAGTGGTGAGTTATTAATCTGTAACAAAAGTATCTTTCATCCATAAAGTTTTAACTGAGCTCTGTCTCTACATCACAGTAACAACTTTATGCCCATTGACTGCTTGGAGGGTAGCTAGTGTTTGGAAGGGAGAGGAGAGGTGTGTGCTGCAGCTCAGTGTTTTTCCACCGGTGATTTTGAGGGCGTGTCGGACTAGCCGCTTGGCGAGCGTTATATGAGATGCAATTTGTTTTCATCCATGTGTCATCACAGGGATGAAACGGAAGCGGCTGGACGAGCTCTTTAAAGGCAGTTCAGAGTAGAGTTTTCTGTGGGAGATGGGAACTCCCTTTGGGCTGGACTTTGGGCTTTTTCACTTTGCAAACCTGTTACATGCACAAAAAAGATATAAAACAATAAAGGAGAGGGGAAAAGGCTAAAAAGCATATCCCACCTCTTTAAGGACAGGACTTTGCCTTGGCCATTCCAAAACATTCACTTTATTCTTCTTTGACCATTCTTTGGTAGAAAAACTTGTATGCTTAGGGTCGTTGTCTTGCTGCATGACCCACGTTCTCTTGAGATTCAGTTCATGGACAGATGTGCTGACATCTTCCTTTAGAATTCGCTAGTATATTTGAGAAAACAGGCCCAGATCATGATAATATCACCACCATGTTCCACAGATGGAATAAAGTTCTTGTACTTGAATGCAGTGTTTTCCTTTTGCCAAACATAAGGCTTTTCATTTAAACCAAAAAGATCTCTTGTGGTCACATCCATCCACAAAACAATCCAATCTCTTTAGAGATGGTTTTGTAACGTTTTCCAGCCTGATGAGCAACAATGACAGTTTTTCTGAGATCCTCAAAGAAAATGAAAGTACCCCTTTAACTGTACTGAAGTTAATTATAATTTACATCCGTGACATGTTTCACGCAGGATTATTGATTGGATTAGGGACACAGGGATAATTTGTCTCACCTGCCCTGCTGTGTCCAGAATCTCCATGGTGACAACTTCATCGTCAATGTTGGCTTGATGACGATATGTTGATTCTGTCAAACACACAAAAAAGAGTTAATCCAGTTTTGTAGAAATTCAATCTGATGTGAATCATCATTTGAAAAGGGCGACACCTGACTCCTAACATGGGAGAGGTTTGAGTTACTAAATTAGATAGCAGGATGAAGACTTTTGAATTGTGTCATTCACACGCTGTAAATCTAATTCCGCCTGCTGTTTCTTTGTGAATGATTCAGGGGATCACACATACAGCTGATGATTAGGCTACTGTGTGCAAGACTTCGACATACCCGACTTTTGCTTCTTATCTAATCTTCTATAGTGTTGCAAATAATGGTAAGCATTGTAACTGTGTTTGAGTGCACGTCTGCAAAGTGCTGCTGATCGGCATCTTCCTGCTTCACTCCAGCTTCTTTACTTTTTAAACTGAGTGAACATGTGTTGAAATGAGTTGAAAAAACAAATGTTTTTGTTTTTGGTGTGTGTATGACTGTACTGTACACTGCAGTCTGTGTCTGTTTGTTTGTTAAGCTATTTTTTTATGCTTGTTCTGCAAATGTATATCGAGAGCAATGTAAGATCGGAGTAAAATTGTGTACACATACCTGGCCATTAAAGCTGATGCTGGATTGTCAAAACAATTGTGTTAGCCATAATATGGATGCTTGGCTTTTATTCTGCTCTCTCTGCTCTCAAAGAATTAGAGTAGCTACAAGGATGCTGCTGGAAGGACATATGTCCCCACATAACACACTGTGGTACAGATACAGAGATAGATGTACACACACACACACATATATATATATATATAAGCTTGACTTCACTGCTCTGCTTGAAAGAATGCAGCGCCCCATTTGTTTAAGTTTATATTCAATAAAGGACAGATAACAGGCATTGATTAGTTACCATGATGCCATTTTCTAGTCTTTCTATGGACTCATGTCCATGTTTTTCTGGAGTCACTGGTAAAACATTTTCGTGCCCGAGGTGAGGAGCTTCCATTGGAGTTAAAATAAGTTATCGTGTTGGCTTGTGCCTCGCTCAGACACTTTACTTTCAGCAGGTTGTTGGACCTTCCTGGTTTCTGGGTGATGGTGATGACCCCAGCAATGACCTCAAACACCCTGAGCTTCACCTAAAGCTTGTCTGAAAAGACCTTCTTATTCCTGGCACAGGAACCCAGGTGTGAACTATGACCGTGACCTTTCATTCCATCTTGGACAGCACAGGAATTATCTCCTTGAATTGCCCCCTTGTAAAAAGCCCATCTGTGTAAACACCTTGCAGAGAGCACTGAAGGCCCTTAAATCCTCCTTAAAAAGGAAGAGATCATCTCAACCAGAGGGCTTAAGCCAGCACTTTAAAGCTTTTTGACTTTGTGAATCTAGTCTTACAATTGCTTTCAACTTGTGACTCATGTCCTGTCTACTCTACAATTTATTGATGCATAGTTCTTTTGTGAAGGGAAAACATTTGAAAGCTCAAGTCAAGAAATCAATATTAAAATAAACATCGGATGTCCTTCTCTTGAGAATTGCTACATCTTGTTCTTCCCATTAGGCCTACTTGGAACTTTTTCCTGTTTTAAAATATATTGTTTTTCATGCCAGTTGCAGAAATAAGAAATTACCAAGAAAAAGTAAAAAGTATTTAAATCAAAATGCAAAACATTTACAGGCAATGAAAGTTGTCTACCTGTCAACCATAACAGCCTTACACCGGAATCCACTGACACTGCGCCACGTTTTGACCCGTCCTCAGCCCTACCACAAGTCACACTAGAAGCGTTTCAGCAGCGGAGCGTTTAGCCTGCCCCACATTGTTGACTTTATTTGTCATTTTGTGTGCTTCTACAACTGATCACAGCGCTCTGTGAACCGTTTTCCCTGAGTTCCCTGCAGGGCTGAATTTCCCACTAGGAGCATTTATGAATAAGAACATTTTGCCTCCCTGATTTTGCTGAATTGTTTAAATTTAGTTGATTTAGTAAGTTGTCCTTGATTTTTGTGCTTCTACTGTGGTTAAGAAGGCTACATAGTGAAATTGTTTCTTTTTTGGTCTGTTTTAACTGTATTTATTGTTGCTATACGATCGGAAGTCGGCACAAGGTATTTTTTATTTTGAAAATCGACCGGATTGTCTTTGCCGTTTATGGCTGTGCCACGGCTGCCGGAACAATTCGCTGCCATTGTAGTCGATGCTTGTGCTCACACCTGAAGCGCCGCAGCGCGTCCCAGAAGCGGCAGCCGGTCTATTTTTGACGGAAGACGCGTCAAGCAGCAGCGAGCAGATGAGTCGGGCAGGAAGTCAGGCACAGAAAGGGCAAAGAGAATCCAGTCGATTTAAAAAAAACAAACAAAATAAGCTTGTACAGTTTCCCGATTACATATCAACAATAAACACAGTTAAAACAGACCAACAAAGAAATAATTTAACTATGTAGCCTTCTATGGCAGAAGCACAAAGATCAAGGACAACTTGCCAAATTAACTAAATCTAAACAATTCAGCAAAATCAGGCAGGCAAAACGTTCTTATTCTGAAATGCTCAATGTGGGAAATTCAGCCCTGCAGGGGATCGATACAAGAAGCACACAAAATGACAAATAAACACCAAGTCAACAAGGTGGGGCAGACTAAACGCTCCGCTGCTGAAAGCTTCCAGTGTGAGTTAAGACTGGGCTGAGGACGGGTCAAAATGGCGCAGCCGTAACGCAGCGCACACGCCGCCTGTGTGAGTCCGGGGTAACTGTACTGTCTGACTCCGGCACATGAATGAATCTGGCCCCCAAACAGTCTCTGCTTCCACAAACAATGACACGACACTAGAAATGATACTCAGATGTTCTCTGTAAAGAGTTTAAAATAACAGATTCGGATGTTGCTCTAGTCTCTGCACGTCCACCCCGCCGTGTCCCAGGTGCGCTCACCTCTCCGGGGGATAAACTGTATCCTGTGACGTAAATGAAATGTCACAGAGAGCCAGAGGCGGAAGTTGAGTGGCGATTTATAGCTGTTTGGCTGGAGGCGTGAGGAGCATCTGTGAGGAGGAGAACCGGAGTCTCACACAGAGACCCATGGGACAGCCTATTTCAGGAGTCATCACTCTGTCAGCTGCAAACAGCACCCAGTCTGTCCACGTCCACCGCCCCGTGTATTTGTTGCTAAATGCACTGACGAGGGGGCAGGGCTGGGATGATTTAACCAGCCCCAGCTTCCCATCTAAAGGTCTTGGAGAGAAACAAAAGCAGTAATTTTCCTGGCAGCAAGCAATTCATCCCTCATAATTCAAACTGCCTGACGGCTGTTTTGACAGAAGGTAGAAAGAAAAAGTGACACGCCTCACATCAAGTGTCAAAACTGGGAACAGAATCCAGATTGTTGATAAAGCTCATCAATGCCCTAAACTGCTCCAATAACCAGATAAAAATGTTTTGCTCTTACACATGCTGTACAGTAGCCTACTTTATTTCCAAAATGTTCACGCCAGAAACCCGCTCTGTGTCTGATCCAATACAAAGTTGCTCTTGTGACACCACACAGTCGAAGTAGCTCAGAGTTCATTTCTGTGTGCAAAAGGATATTAGATTCTGTAAGTGGATGGTGTGCAGGGACAGAATTGACTTTTGTAATATAGTGTCCATCTGCATTCTCAACAGCTACTGTTTCCCATGGTGCTACAGCACATGAGATCCAGCTGGTCATCTTATAATATCTGGGGAGTGTGTGCACACTTGCAACATCTGCAAGTACCAGCCTAAAACATGTGCCAAAGCCAGCAGATGATTTAGAACAAGTGTAACCATTACTTAACCACATTTTCATGTCTATATGCTTTATTTATTAGGATGCAGGAACAAAGGATGCCACAGTTTGATGGTACACGCCTAATAGATAGAAATGACAAAACTAACAAACTAGTTGAATCACGTATTTTGCTACATTGTGTTCCGTCTTTACGTAGCGTCAGTCTGAAAGAATGTTTAAGGGATGGATTTGTTCAGATTTGGACTAACTCTCCCCTTGGCGGTCACTGGAGCCTCAAAAGGTAAATGTGGTTTCTGAGACACCTGTCAATGAAGCACTCCACATAACTTAAAGGCTTAGTATATTTTTTTAATTAAAGTATAATTCTGCTACCGACACATACCTGAGAAGACAAGAAAGTTGCAACTGATACATTGCAACATTTTGTGGAATTTGTACTGTCAGATACTTTTTGGACAGTGCTTACACAAAGCTGATCCAGCCTGCCTCCCACTATCAATACAAACCCTGCCAGGTGGCTTCTATTCTATCTGTCAATTAATAGATGTCTAACAATATTAAAAACCTGACTTGCTTTTATTGTTGGATTCAAAATGTGCATTCTAGTTTCTTTGTCATTTCAGCCTTTTTGCGTTGAGGTTTAATGTGATGCTCTCATCCAGAGTATTTTTAATGGTCTTGTTCAAGGACATAGCAACAGTTTGTCCTGAAGTTCTCACAGCAGAGACATGTCTTACTATTTGCCCTTGCTCCCTGTTCCCCATTTTTCAGACTTGTGTATTACATTTAAAACTATGAATGTTTTCTCTCTTAATGTTTTCCAGAAAGCAGAGTAGTGTCCATGTTCTTCACATCTTTCTGATAAGGGGCTCAGCAGTCCAGGGGGAACTGCACGTTTACCAGCTGATGCCGTTAGAAGTGTACTTCTAATAGGGCAGAGCTGGAGCATGCTGGAGCAATCATGTGCAGAGAATAGATAAACATGAAATGATCAGCTAAATCTGGCATGGCTTTTGGGTTGGAATGAAATTCTACAAAAACCAAACCTTCCAAGGCAAGTGTTTGCCTAGCCCTGCACTGAAAGGACTACATATCCCAGCAGGCCTGGGAACACCAGCAATTCCTCATTGTAGAAAAGAACATCTGAGCTTGTTACGAGCCTGATCCAAATTAATAGGTAGATAATAAATGGAGATTAATGGTGAGCTGTAGACACTGGAAGGTATATTGAGCTAGTGCAGCCCACAGTCCTGTGTTTTTAAGACCAGCACTCTGCACGCACCCCCACCCCCCACCCCCACTTGTGTGATGTGCTTATAATAGAGTTTTAATAACGTGTCGACCACTTCATGTGTAATTTCAGCCGGGCAGTCTGATTTGTCACAGACACCCTCCAACAGTACTGTTATTCCCATTATGCATCTCAAGCTGTGCTTTCTTGGTTGTGACGCCAACTCTTGCTGGTGGTAACCAGGGAGGCAGTTATCGCTCTATTCAGCTTTTTATGTGTGTGTATGTGTGTGTGCGTGCGCTAAACCATGTACAAACCATGTTTACTACACAGTAAACAATACACTACATTACAAAAAAGCTATTATTGTTGTGCTATTTTGTGCAGAAAGGAAATGAATGTCTATTACTAATAACATGTTAGTAAAAGGTGTCTGTGTTCTGTCATTTAATACCTCGAAAATAAGTGTTCCTGTATCGTTGCCCTAGCAGCTAAAATTATCTCAACAATCTCCCAGCAGTATGTTGTGATGTGAAGCAGAGGGCATAACACCTATGAGATTGCGGTCGTCATGTTACATGAAGAGGTGATTTATTAAAAAAAGAGAGAGAATGTGCGCCCAAGTGTGGTCTGTTTATTCCGGTGATTATGCTCTGCTGAGCCTCTGCACCTCATATCACTAAAAGCAGACGTATCGAAGAGAGCACCATGCAGGCAATCTAGAGGTTCTGACCTGTTGTGTACATGAAATGAAAAGCACCTTACTGCGGAGATATGATGTGTTTGTGCCATGTAATACAGTGTAGAGAATTGGCTCATCGGTGTATAAAATGTCATGTGTCATTTCTATGTTATGCAGTGATGAGTCTTCTGCATTAAACCTGGTTGCATCATGTTGTGTTTTTGAAATAACCAAAACTAATTTAAATCATATGTGTATATGTATATTTTAGTCCTTTTACCTTTTGGTATAAATCCGTAAAGGAATAATTTATTTTCTTGGCAAGCGTTAGATGATAGTTGATACTACTCTCGTATCTGCAAACTAAATATTAAGCTACAGCCAGCAGATAGTTAACATAACTTAGCATAAAGAAGCATGGGAAAACTGGCTGTTTGGCTCTATCAAACTGCAAAAACACCAGCAGTAGTAGTAGTGATAGAAACAGATATCTTGTTGTCTTACCGAGTGTCGGGTCGTACTCCCAGATGAAGCGTCTGGTCAGAAATCTCACCACCAAGGCTGCAGAGAACAACAGATAATAACTTGTTCAGAATAGGAAAACAGCACAAGAAAAACTTAGCAGGTTAGTTTTCATGTTTTACAGAATTATGATATTTTGTGTCTTTCAGTGTGGATTTCACTAATAAAAAATAAACTCAAAATGCATGACCATCAGTTAATAATACTACTAATTACTTCAGGCTACAGTCCTAATATGCACATCCACCGACAACATGTCTACTTCAATGGCCATGTCAGCTGGGGTTGACCACCAAGAGGCCACAATATCCAAACCACTTTAATACACTTTTCATCTAAATGCTAATTAAAAAAAGGAGTTCAAACAGCCTTTAGGATGAAACATCGGCTCTCGAAGGTTATCATTAGCTGCTTCTCTTATAACGAATAGTTAGCCTGCTCGTTACAGCATCAGCCTTTATCACACATTTGAAAAAAACATCCCCAGCAGCCCTGTGACTCACTCTCTTAATGGTTTACCATCAACAAGTAATCAGGCACACGGAAATCTGAAATGTGGACTGTGTGAGAAAAGCTTGGAAACTGAAAAATGTATTCCATTCAAAATGGGACAGACCTCTCTACAGCTCGTACCTGGCTGTCTTTCCCAGCAGCACTGGCCTGTCTCATCTATAAGCCAAAATTCACACTTCTATTTGATCAACAGGGCCACACAAACCCTTGTGCCCCCTCTCATGCTTATTATAATGTTATCATCCCCTGGTACTTTACTACTGAGCAATTTAATGATATCCAATTAAAACACAGAGCATCATGCTCTCCTTCGCCTCCTAGGTCACTGCAGGAGGTGTGTGCCTCTTTTCTGCAGCCAGTTATCTGAACACTGCAGTGTTTCTCCATTTAGTAGGATTAATAGGTAGGCATGATGCAACTGAGACTCTTGTCCTCTAGGAGAGTGCAAATGTACTCCCAGCAGGATCAGCATACAACCTAATATTAAAGGCTAAATGAGGTTTCATGGGCATAAGCAAACATGTCAATGTGGCTATCTATTAATGTCTTTCCCAGAGAAAGTAAATATATGAAAGTTTATATAATGTTCTAAAAGTTGGGAAATACACTTTGCATTCTCGCAAGAGTGAGATGAAAATATTGATACCACTCTCATGTATATGCATGAAATATGGAGATAAAGCCGGGGGGGACTTAGCTTATCATAAAGAGTGGAAGCAGGGGAAAACAGCTAGCAATTGAGTGGCGATTTATTAATTTTTTTTACGTAAGAGCCGGTGTTCTATCGATTTATACTACCTATCGAGATGTGCTACTTAGCGGTTCTGCGCATGCGTATGATCCACAAGCGTGGGCGGTTTCCGCGTCCATAAATCTGTGCAACCTTGCTGTTGGGCATGCCGTGGCAACAGTGGCTGTTCGTCAACAATATCAAAAAATAAAATCATTATTAGTTAGTATTATCAGAATACGCTACATCTTAAATAAAGACGGCATAATACAGTTTTTCAACATGCTCCCCATCTCCTTACCCTACACATGGTAGGCTACACATAGTGGGAGCATTATTTGATAGATATCAGAATACGCTACCTCTGAAATGATGTCACAATATAATCAAAAACCAGAATATGTCATAATACTGTGAGAGTTATAACTTTATGGGATTGGAAAATGGAACACATAAGGTAGCATTTTTCAATAGCCAGAATGACTTGATAGACTATCGATTTGCGCTTTTTGAGCATATTTCGACAAGGCAGCATATGTAGCGTCAGAACACCGGACCAGTAAGCTAGGCTAACTGTCTTCTGGCTTTAGCTCCACAGCTAAAGCACAGTGGTATTCATCTCATCTCAGTCTCAGCAAATGAGCTACTTTCCCAAACTGTCTAACTCTGTTTGTGATGCTTTAAGAAGAACACAGGTCTATCTAAAGTTTGCTAACATTAGCTACTGTATGCTCGTGTTGTTCATGCGACATTGTTTACATATGGAAATAACAGACGCACATTACTCTTCTGGAAGGCATTCATATTGTTCAGATGTCAGATATGTTCCGACCAGCACTTTATGCAGTAGAAGCATACTGGCATGTTGATCTACTGGTCATACCAGACCAACTAAACAGTGGCAGCAACACCCTGTGTATTGAGATGGGCATTGGTGCGTTTCATTGCTCGTGAATTCAACTTTTGTAAGAGGAAATATTTATTATTTTCTCTTTCAAAAGTCACATTTGGTCACACTTTTCAAACATACTTTCCAGACTTTTGGGGACCTGTACAGGAACCCATTTATGTGCTGTTTGGTAATTGTTTGCTAACATACGCCAACAAGAAAGTGTTCACACTTTCAATCTGCTTCTCTGCAGGAGCTGTCATGTGCCTGAGTGACTCTAAATGGGCCTGAGTGGTCCAGGCGTTTATCTGTGTCCTCCTGTCAACTGTCTGAGCTGCTGCTTGTAGAAACGAGACAATGGGGAAACAGGTTAGTCTTTGAACTGGGAGGAAAAAAAGATCCATCTTGGCCAGGCCTTTTTTCCGCTCATAATTATCTATGACAAAGAAAAGGATGAAAACCTATTATGTTGGCCAGAGTGTCGCTGCCACGTTTCATTACGCTCCTAAAGAACTCAAGTCTAGCCTTTGAGCTCAGGGCAGTGTTTGATGATCACAGAGAGTCTGGTGCTAGAATGTTTCAATTTGTCATTCGCACATGTGGAGTAACTGTGGAAAGCTTCACCCTAGTCTTTTTATCAGCCAAAACATTTCTTTACTTCACAACGTATATCAGTTTGCCTGTTCATCAGCATGTGCCCTTAGACTCAATACAACAGCACGTACAGAGAGTCAGGCAGGTCTTTTAATCTTACACATAGCTTTTTTCATCTTTTTTTGTTGAGTTTGTTCCTCTGTAAAACACATTTCCCTTCCCTAACACACTAGTTGTGCTTTCAGGCAAAGGAACATGTCATGCAACTATCAATTATTCCCTGAATTCAGCAGCAGATCATCTGTCACGCTGTTGAGAAGGCAGACTGACACGCACGTTTCTTCTCCAGGCACATTTACTTCTCTTGTTCAGCGCTGAATTTCCCACTGAGGTTATTTCGTGGAGTTTTGCTACAGTGGCCTGGATTCCAGGTAGACAGAACAACCAATGGGGTGTGAAGTTTGTTCCTCATTAGAGGTAACTGTATCTCCTGCTTTTCACTGCCACTGGAAGAAATGTACACATGGAAGAGAGGCGCCTTTGTTAATGTGCGTCAATATGGACATTGTGGCCCAGATTCACTAAAGGTTTGCAGCGGGAATAATGTGCACTTTATCACCAAGCGGAGCGGATCACAAAGGCGGGCAATTCACTTACTGTGTGCAGTGAGAGGAAAGCTGATAACAGTGCTGGTAACAAAATGAAGTCTCTTTGCAACTGTCATGGTCATATATATGACTGCTGTGGAAACCTCATAGCACCAGTTTTGTTGTTGTTCTTTTTTTCAATTTCACTAAAGAATTGCATTTATTTAAATGGTGCCACATTTTTCAAACTTTGCAACTCCCCTTATTTACTGTAGCACAATCATTATTTTTGAAAGTCTGTGTAAAGAAGTGGCAAAAAGATTTGGTCATTCAAAAAATACAGCTGAGGTGACAAATTTCAGCTCAGTGTGCTGCAGTTATAAAGAGTGCAGAGGTACCAAAATTGAAGCATGTCAGATCATAATGGAAAAACATATGCACCTACAAATGGTGGTCGGCATTGTTTGTCCGAGTGGTGAGGCTTAATGAATAAAAATGACAATCTGAAATTTTGTACGGAGTGGAGGAGGAGCCGCTGTGTCGTGTTTATTCCCTAATATTACTCTTCCAACATGGCTGTGTCGCCTCAGTCCAACACATACAGTGTGCTACTTATGGCTGTAAAAATCCCCTGCCATGTTAATTGGAGCTGTTTCCATATAATATCTGGTATCTGTCATGCTGACAAAATCAATACCCCGCCACTTTCTAAAGATGGGCTGTTGCGTTTCCCACATCATCAAGCTGCAAGCTGTTTTTCATAACTTGATATTTCCAACAAATACTGCAGCTGAAATCTGAGTAGAAAAAAGATTTTATTAAATTCTCCAGCCCAGACTTCACAGAGTGGATGGACAGAGGAGTGCTGAACTTTCAGATTTACATCAAACACATCATCCATGGTAGGTGTTTGCCAAAAGCTGCTTTTGTCCAAAGTGACCTAATCACATTAGCAGCAGAATGTTGGACTAATTATAAACAAAGTACGAGCAATTAGCAGCGCTCATGGCCCTGTTCTGAGCCGGCACTGTGTTACTCATTGAACGGTCTCTATTGATTCCCCACGGCCATCAGACGGACACCCACGGTTCTTTGGTTCCTTCAGCTACATAAACACCCCTTTACTGGCTGGCAGACCTCTCTCAGTGCTGCACAGCTGTAGTCAAGTTTTGTACCTATTGTGTTCATGTCATGTCAGTTCATGTCATACAGGCCAGCTGTGTAGACTAGAAGGGAAATGATAAGACTGGGTCTGACAGAAAAATCTGACCACAGAAGCAAAAGAGTACCAGCTTTATGTGAAAAACCAAGGGAAAACGCTGTGAATCTGATTTACTGTATATAGATTTTGACATAGGAAAGTGTAATTTCTGTGAGAATTTTCAAAAAAATGCTTGTACAAATTTGTAGCAATTACAAAACTACTAAAGCTACAAAACTAAATGCAAAGCTAAACTGCAGTAATTGTTTGTATTGTTGCTTTTATATCAAGCAAAAGCTAGCTGGTGAGATAGCTGTGGATAGCCTTAGCTAAAACTAAAACCAAATTGTATATACATTTAGCTTGATCCTATTTATATTGTATAAATACATACTGGAATGAATGTTCTCATTGACTTCATGAATAAGTTCATCTCTATGAAGCTCATGAGAGCTCAGAAATATTAATAATATTCATCAGTGACAAGATCTCTGGCAATAAGCCAGGAAAAATCCAATTCAGTGC